GGAGACATCAAATAGCCATGTCTCACAAGTCCCAGTGACCTCAGGGCGAGGGGCTCAGTCAGCCCCCTCAAGTGGCAGGGCCAGGGCATCCGTCAGGGGTCATGGGGCCCGGAAGGCATTTTCAGCAGCCCCGGCGGCTGCATTGGCGGCTGCGGTTCGCACCGCAGGGTTGGAGAAAACACCAGCAGCAAATTCTTGCTGGGCCTTCTGAAAGCTGGCACCTGTGCGGCGGTACAAGGAGTGGATCTGCAAGTAGAGGACGGAGATATCAGAGCACGTTCCAGCCACTGCTGCTCTACTCCAACCCAACCCCGCCGCCACCCGCCCCAGCTGCTGCTCTAGATTTCTCTTCTTGGATCCCCTCCAACACACAAACACTCCCCCTACCTCAAAGGTCCATTAGCTCAGAGCCCGCCCATCAGCCTGGCCCTCCCCAGTTCCTCCTGAATGTTCCACCCAGGCCCCTAGGGACACATGATCTCACTCTCCTGGCCCCACCCTCAAAGCAGCCCCTCACCCGCTTTAGCATCACAATTCCCAGCACGGCGATGCCGGTGAAGAACAGGGCAACCAGGAGCATGAGCACAGCTACCCCCGTGTTGGTCCTCAGCACCACCAGAGCGGAGATCCAGCCGCTGTAAGGAGGGACAAGGATGTGGCAGTGAAGAGGCCTGCTCATAGCTGGGTCTCTGTCTTCCCAGCTTCTCCACTGGTTATGTCGCAAACAAGCCCTATTCCCACCTTCCCATCGACCGTCACTCCTATTAGTCTGGCAGCTTCCTACGCACCACAATCCCAAGCTACATCCACTCTCTTCATAGTTCAGACCCACTTTTGGAACTGCCTCCTAGCTCTCCAAGCACTTCCAGACATCCTCACTCTAAATAGACTCTTCTGGCCCTGGCTGGATAGCTGTTGGTTAGAGCATCAAGGTTGTGAATTCGATCCCCAGTCAGGGCACATACAAGAACCAACCAACGAATGCATAAATACATAGAACAACAAGTCTCTCTCTCTAAAAGTCAATAAATTAAAATAAAATAGACTCTTCTGTTGAAGATTCTCCCTCTGCTCTTCAACTGTGATTACATATACCTCCTCCAGGAAGTCTTCTCAGATTGACCTTCCCCTCAACCTATGTCTGTGTAGAGTTCTGTCTGGGCTCTCTATCCTGGAAGTATCTCCCGTCTCCCTCCATAAACCAGCACCTCCCAAGGAGAAAAACGACATTTCCTTTTGCTGAACAACCCCCCCCGCCCCCCCCCGCAGTACCCTGACTTGGTCTAGAGGAGTGGGAGGAAGGACTGAGGGTAAATAGCAGCCTCACAGACCTGAACCCCCAACCTGGGATGCCAATGGCCTGGAGGACAAAAAGCACATCCTGGGCGAAGAAAATGAAGAAGAAAACGAAGAAATTGAATGAACTATCGCTCCTGCAAGGAGAAAAAATGGGGAGAGTGGGAGAATTAGTGCTGGAGGAGCAGATAGTGGAGGTCCATTCAAATTTCCCCATCACCCCAGCCCCCAACTTACCGGAAAGCCTTATACATGGGGCGGTACCAGCAGACGAAGGAGCAGGGAGTGAAAAGGAGGATCCAGAGGATGGACAGCCCGAAGCCCGTGCCGTTGTTGCTCTCCACACAGAAGCTGGCCAGGCAGGCGAGGAAATTCAGGAGAAGAGCCAGAGCGCTGCCTAACAGACGGAGGGACAGGATGACGTCTCTTTCCGACCGCAGTGAAGGCTCCTTCCCCTGTAAGCCCGCCCGGTGGCCCGCACCAAGTGTGGCAGAGAAGGAAACAAAGACAACATCCGCCTTTACAGAACCCTCGACAGGGGAGACAGAACGAGCAAATCTCAATCATGAGTAATCAACCCCTTTGGAAAGACAGTTAAAGGATTCAGAGCACATCTGTGCATGAGGACAAGGGAAGGGGAGTGGCCAAACACACGCATTTGCTAGAAGGCTGGGGAATACGTTCTAAATGGCATAAAAGGAGTAACCCAGGAAGATCCTAGAGCAATTAGTCTTAAACTCAAATATTAAAGAGAGGCAGAGTGTCTAGTTCTAGGTGAGTGGGCTCCGGGGCAGGAAAGATGTACAAGTTACTACCTGTGCTCTTTCTCCAAAAGGGCTCTTTTACTACTCACACATCCAGAGATAGTACATGGTGGATACTGTCTTCTGAAATTCTTGTGGGATCTCCATGGAGATGTCCTGGAAAAAGCAGGGCTGAACTGGGCAAAAAGAAGGCAGAGGGGGCCAATTGTTCTGTCGAGCTGAAAGGCACAAAGAGAGCAGAAGTGAGGCGGAGACCAATGAAGGAATCACTCCCCCTCCCACTCCAGGTCCTCTATTCTATCTCTAATTTGGGGTCCAAGGAGATGGAGAGAAATAAAAATAATGAGGATTAGTATTTACAACTTTTTAAAGCACAGTCCCAAGCACTGTGTATAGATGATCTTGTTTAACTGCCACAACAATCCTGTCACACAGGTACAGACAGTATTTTCATTTTACAAGTGTGGAAACTGAGGCACTCAACATTAATAACTTGCCTAGGAGCTCACTATGATGAATAAGCGATAGCGCCCAAATTCAAACTCACAATTTGGCTCTGGTGCCCAAGCTCTCAGGTTTTTTTTGCTTCTTAGAAACTGTCAGATTCCCTCCCCACCCTATCAAGGACTCACTTACTAGCTTTGCCCCCCAGGGCGGCATGCTGCAACTCTCGCTCTCTGCGGTCCAACTCCTCCGCCTTTCTGTTGAGCTCCTCTTGCTTCTTTAGCAGCTCTGCTGTGGCTGCCGCAGCGGAAGCCTGACCAATAGGAGCAGAGAGATGTGAGTCCTGGGCCCCAGGGCTGGCCTGACTTCCCAACCACCATCCACACACTTCCTTTACCTGGGAGCTGTAGGAACCATAGTTCTTGGGTTCTGTGGGGCTGAGCTTTCTTGAGGACTGCGGGGGAGCTGAGGATGGAGGCAATGGGGCAGGGGCAGGAGGCTCGTAGGCTGATGGTGGCTGTTGGGTTTAAAAAGACCTTACAGATCATCTTCTGGTCCCTCATAACAGAGGAATCTAGAGTCAGCCTGAATGCCTTTCGACCCCAAACTCATTACCTAGGTAGCAGCCCCTCCCACAGTTGTTAGAAAGCTAGTTCTTATGTTTGTCAGAGAACTCCTTTACAATCAGCAGCAGCCCTCATCACCCCTCACATCAAATTCCTTAGCCAGAACTCAAGCACTCACTACATCTACTTCCGTAACTTTTAAAAACTCTATCTTTCCTGTTCCAGTGAGACACATATGTCTAGTTCTCCTCATTCCTTGCCTTCTAATTGCACACCTAAGCAGAGTCTGTTTTCTTAATTCCAACCAGCTGCGTACTTTATTTTTTTCAAAGAAGGCTCCCCAGACAGGGCCTTGGTTATGGCCCCGCCAGGCTCCATTGGATGGATCGTGAGCCCTGGTGTCTCCAGAAGAATTAGGCATCCCGTGGCCTCCTGGCCGCTCTGTCAGGAGCTAAGGTCATGGTACTTGCTTCTTCCTTCCTTTCCATGCAGAAAAGGCCCCTGTACCCCGACAGGGTGGGCTCACTGGCAAGCCCTCCCCTCCCTTGCAGTCCTGTGCTCTTCAGAATCTCACCTCTCGGGTCTCAAAAGGGTTGTAGACGTCGAGCGTGGCATACTGCGGGCTCGGTCGGTGCTGGATCACAGCTGGGTCCTGCGGGCAGAGATCAGGGGCTCAGCTGGCACCTGACACCGCACAGGGAACTCACAGGGGCCTCTTCACATTGCCTGTGGCTCCAAGGACTGCACCTAGGGGGCCACGCTGTGGTCCCAGCATTTCCTCCAAATCCTTCACCCCTCACTGCCAGTACCAGTTTCTAACAGGGACAGGGCCCGCCCCCAGGGTGCTCACTGGACTGGAGTCACCGTCACCCTCACGTGGCGGCCCTTCCAAAGATCAAACACGAATGGGAACTCAACTTAAGCCCATCCTCCAGAACCGGGAAGTCAATCCTGTTGCCCAAAGGAGGCCGGCGCAAGTCACCTGAAAAGGGTTGTCAAGTTCGCCGGGCTCGGCGAAGGGGTTTCCACCGTCTGTGTTTTGAGCCATAGTTGCAACCGCGGACTAGGCCGCCCCCTGCCCTCCACGCCCCTGGGGCGGCACTGGGGGCAGCAGCGACGCTCAGCCTTCCCTCCGCTCCACTCCGTCCGCCCCGCTTCTCTGTGCACGGATTGGCTGCGCCGACCGGAAGTCCCAA